GCGCAGGTTACTCGGACTTCGAGCGGTTACTCGTTCGACCACTGCCCAAACAATAGAAATCTATTGGTCGTAGAAATGGCATCGAAAGAAGTAATGGGTATGGTCAATATTGTAAATCATTGTTTTCTTTGCTGGGCAAACATGAGCTTGTCATTTTATTCTTTATTTATAAACAAACTGAAGTTCCGGTGGATTTTCGGCTTCCACAGAGTCTGGGAAGATCAAGTTAACTTTAATCTACCTAGCCAAACACTTCCATAACCATACATAAAAAATAATAAGCTAGGATTCCAATCACATAGTACACAAAATAACTTCTTCGCACACTAAAAGCTTTCTATGAGTCTTCCACTGAGTATATCACGTGAAAAATAGACATAGACCTATAGAAAGCGGTGAGTGCGCGAAGAAGTCACGTGGAGACTAACCGCATAGAGTACACATAGAAGCGTAATGTGGCTCTCGCATTAAAATAACAACCTTAAATCCCGCGTGATTACGGGATAACCCTCCCAGCGGTACATTTTCTGAGTTCTTCGAATGTATCCGGAATGCTTCAAGAGTTTTGTGCACTAGTGTTTTCGATTCCTGTGCGAAGATAGGACTTCTACTTCAAAATCCTCCCCATTGTCTCAGTGCTGTACGCGCCCCTAGTGGTGGATTTGGTTTAACTTTAAATTTACCGACTAGATGTTACTTTCTACAGATGCAGATTGGTCTACCCTTTTCTAGAATATATTCATCTCCGCACGCCTTAAAAGAGATCTAAACTATCCCCGAATTCATGTAATCAATCTCACCCGTTACGGCAAATTATGCAATTTTGCATTATACACAGACGGTCATACAGGCGGTTGCGAACAAGCTGGCGTCTTCGAATGCTTGCTTGTATTCCAATTACTGTTACTAAATTCTATAGACTCGCCTTTCTTAGGCAACATTTTATATCTGCACTTATTCCGTCCAAAATGAAGGGCGGGATGAATGAGACCTTATTATCACCAGAGTTGTGATTATAGGGCATGGATTTTCTTCTACACCTATCCCGAGGAGCTACGATTTCGTAGCCATTGGAAATGGCTATTTACCGCACGAATTTCTAGGAATCGTCCTTCTGCTCTCTTCCTGTGCAACACTGGTGGTTGTTCTAAATACGTTTCTTATGATCGATGTTTTTGTGTATGAGTAGTGAGATTAGAGCAGCCAACCAGTATTATTTTTACTGTTTGGCTTGGGTACCATTTCTTTATGTAGCCGTTTTCGGATAGGTTAATTTGAACGTTCAGAAATGTAAGCCAGTTTTTTTCTGTTTCTCCGTTTCTCTCGATTAAACTTAACGTAGTCTAACTGTTCATTCAGTAACTCAAAACATTTGTCTATTTTCTTTTGTGCTGAGCAAATGGCAAAGCAATCAACCACATATTTACAGTAGAGTAATGAGCTTAGATCGCGTTAATGGTGCTTCCACGATAGCCACGCGTGCAATGGCAAGGCATGGTGCCAGTCGCTGTTTCATTGCTAACGCTTTCACTTGTGCGCAGTACTTCCCGTACACTCTAAAGATCGAGCAGTTGAGGTACTCTTTAAGAAGGCCATCAACAGCTGAATCCTGAAGCCATACATGTTGATTTGTTCCCTGCGTTTCATTATCGAAGATGAATTGAATGGCAGAGTCATTCGACACGCTCGTTTTAGGTTGTTCAGAAATAAATGAGCATTTTAAAATATTTATTGTGCTGATGTATTTTTTACTAACAAAATTTTCTTTGAAGAATAAAGGATAAAACTGCCGGCGTTGATCAATCCCTGAGGCATGCACCATGCATTCGACTTCATTAAGTGTCGTTGGAGGTGATTGAATGCAAATCTGACTTTTACAATGACTCGCGGTGGCCTACCGATGTATCCAGCAATGCTTTCCTCTCAGACAGGTCTGGTACCAATTTGCCGACCCCGGAGAGATAGAAGGCTTGGTGAGCCATGGGCGCGGGGTTCGATTCCACGTGTGTGTCGCAGTGGCGCCTCCAACCATTGCGCCACACTCGTCATAAAATTTTTTTATTCTTTGCAGTATTATATGTCGTCAAAAAGCTAATTTTATGCTTTTTTTAACCATAATTTTGTTCTTTGTCAAAATTTAAATTTTATTCAGAAATTTTGAGTTTCACGATTTTAGATGTCAAGAACGATTTCTCGTCAAATTTTCTTTTATGAATTCAAACTCGGTCGTAATGCAGCAAAGACGGCTCGAAACATTAATGAAGTTTGGGGGGTAAGGTAATGTTGGAGAATCAACACTGCGGACATAGTTCCGGAAATTCCGATCTGGTGATTTCGACCTCGAATGTAAGGAACCTCGTGGAAGTCCCAATGAACTTGACCACGGCGAACTGAAGGCACCAGTGGAAGCAAACACGCGAACGCGAACAACTGTTCGAGTGCTTGCAGAACAGCGTGGAGTAAGCGCAGGAACATTTTCCACTCTCCTAAATCGCATAGAAAGGACAAAAAACCTCGACAAGTGAGTGCCGCACGAATTAAATGATAATATTCTCTTTTATTTACTGCCTTTTTCTTCTTAATGGCAGGTTATGTTGCGAAATATAACTCGTATGAGATGCTGAGATATTTGCAAAACTCCGGACTACAGGTGTATGCAGTGGGGAACGACCACGCGCTGTTGTCCTTACCGGGGATCAACGCACTTCACCACTGCACCATCCGGGTCCATCGGTTTGCATGTCTCTCAGCTAGTTCTATCGATCTTTTTACCATCAGCAACCACCCGTAAATGATAATAAAAAAATCGCCGTTTTGAAACGTCGTCTGCTCTTATTCTGCACAACAAAAACGGCTCTTTTCTTGATCGAATTGTTACATGCGACGAGAATTGGATTCTGTTCGACAATCGGTGGCGTTTAGCTCAATGGTTCGATTGCAACCAGGCTCTACAGCAAAGCCAAAATTCAACCAAAAAAGGTTGCGTCGACTGTTTGATGATATGCAGTTGGGTTGATTTATCACACTTTTTGCATCCGAGCGAAACGATTACGGCATAGAAGTGTTGCCAATTTATGCACCGTAAACTCCAACAGCAAATACTCTGCTTCACGTTAAGGGGCCAATGTTGCAGAAGTTGAACAAATTGAGCTACGAAACTTTGCCTCATCCGCCGTACTCATAAGACCTCTCTCTTACAGACTATCATTTCTTCGAGCTGCTTGGCAACTGCTTTAGCTATAAATGCCTCAGCAACCACTATGACGTAGAAGCGCCTTCAACGAATTTACCGCTTCCAGACTCCAGAGTTCAAAAGGGTTAAATAAACTTGTCTCTCATTGGCAATAATGTGTAAATTCAAATTATTCTTATTGGATTAAAAGGATAAATGGGATAATGGAATTCTTACTGGAGTATCCTTCTCAGATAAAAGGCGATATACGGAAGCATCTTCAAAATGCTTCTTCGTTATCTCGACATACTAGTAATGAGAAATTACTAAAAATTTTTCGGCTTTATTACTAACGGATTGCCTTATATCTTTTGACCATATTGGCTTTCGAACCTTCCGCTTACCACATTTTTGCACTTTTATGAGGCTCTCGTGAGATAGTTATTAAGGACTTTACATCTTGCATCTCCACTAGGAGCGCATAGGATACAGACACATAACGAGTAAGATTTTGAAGCAGATGTTACCATGTTCTTACATAAATCGAAAATTTCAGTATGTGAAACTCTCGAAGCATTGAGTTGAATTCTAAAGATCTAAAAACCAGCCACAGTGAGGAATGTCTCGTTATCACATGTGATCCCGCACAGCATTTAAGATTGATATTTTAGTCGGTGACAGGTACATCACGATTCTATGAGAGCTCTGTGCGGTTGGTATCCACTGGCATACTCAGTGGAAGACTCATAAAAAGCAGTGAGTTTGCAAAACAAGCTATTCATTGTCCAATGTAATTGACATCATGGCTCCATGGCATTTTGTTTTGGTTTTGGAGGAGTTTGACTGGGTAAATTTCATTCAACTTGACCAATTCAAGCTCTGAGGAAGGCAAAATTTGGCGAAACGTCAGCTTACTGATAAATAAAGAATAAAATGGCAACTTCTCGTTTGTACCCCAAGAGAACAGTGTATCATTGAAATAATGGCATGGTCAATAGAATCGTGAGAATTAGTGATATTTTTATTCCATGTGTCAAAGAGATATAGAAGGTTATAATTTTCAAGGAAAAAATGGGCGTAGGGATACTGTATAAGGCAAATTTTTTTAAGCACAGTACACGAAGAAAGAATTCGAACAGACCTTTAGAATGTCTTTTGAAACTCCTGAAAATACAAATGTTCATCTATATATCCATTTGTTAACATTTATTCGACTAATAGTGATATCACAAATAGGATATGATTGCACGTCCTTAACACCGAGTGGCAGTTTAATTTTTGATAATTGCAGAAATCTGAGAAGCGATGGGGAGCAGAAATATTAATAGTATATTGCCGGAATAAGGGCGAGTTTGGGAAAACTCGGAGACCATTAACAAAATATCATTCTAGTTAGCATGAAGCTTTGGTTAGTTACATGGTTAGTGGAGTACAAATAAATACGTGATACCAGTTATACTACTCATTAATTGTTTACTCTAAAATTAATTAGTGCTTTAATTAAGGTAGAAAGGCATATGGTAAGGCGACTTTTGAAATTAAGGCAATAGGGATACGGCGAGGATAATTAAGGCACAAAGCATTGAGTACGGTGCCATTTTTAAATTAAGGCGACAAAAGATACGATAAGGATGGGATAATAACGAGGAATGTTCTATAACGAACAATGGATAATTATGTGTCGATGAAAGATGTAACGAAATACAAAGCATAATTCCGTGTGATGTCATCGTAGTGCGGAAAGACGGTTACTGTTTTTAGGCAGGCGTGTTGGCGATGGTAGCAGTGTGGCAGGATGAGAGTATCAGATAGTCATCATCATTTTATATCACAGATTGTAAGGAGGTAAAAATTTGTACACAAGCCTTTGTTTCTTCTCTGGCTTTTGGATGATGCCTGAAATTGACCAAAAGTCGTAAACGTATTAGTTAGACAGAGGTACCACTAACTAGCTACCCACAGTTATACCTAGAAAACTTATGAATGTTTTCCTAAACTCTACACAGTCATAAAGGATAAAGCTATCGGCGTTTATCAATCCTTGAGGGATGTACCATGCATTCGAATTCATTAAGTATCGTTTGGAGGTGATTCAATGCATTTCTGACTTTTACAATGACTCATAGTGGCCTAGCGATGTATCGAGCCAGCGCTGCTATCCTTCCAAAGAAATCTGGTACCAATTCAACCGACCCCGGAGGGATGGAAGGCTTGGTGAGCTATAGGCGCGAGGATCGACTCCACGTGTGTGTTGCAGGGCGCCTCCGACCACTGCGCCTCACGCGCGTACACAGTCATAAGGTTCCCAAGAACTTATTCTATTTACATCGGTTTAAAGCAATGAATGATCACTGATTCAAAATTTCGTTGATAAGGTTTTTTAGTAGATATCTCTTTCACATGCAGAAATAACTGGCTTGTTTGGTTGGTTACCGTAAGTCTAAAAATACTCCCACTTCGCCTACACTTCCCATTAACCCACAGTCTGTTCGCGATTTGGATGATTTTGAATTATTCTGGACTTTTGATACACTTTTCAAAGCGAGCAATATTTTCTGAAAGTCGCATTGTAGAAGTTATGTATACTGGGCATTCAACATACAAACATATGAATGTGTCGTTTTTTTGTTCAGCAATCGCGAGGTTTTTAAACAACATACATTAGCTTCCATAGAAAAACACAATACAATACAACAGTAGCTGACGTTTCAGCAGTATCGCCTTCTTCAGAGCCACTTTTTTCGTGACTTCCACATGCGACTATAATCAGCTGTTCTAAACTTCCTCATTGGAAGTCACGAAAAAGCGGCTCTGAAGAAGGCGATACTGCCGAAACGTCAGCTACTGTTGTATTGTATTGTGTTTTTCTATGGAAGCTAATGTATGCTGTTTAAAAACCTCGCGATTGCTGAGCAAGAAAACGACACATTCATATTCCAATGCCGAGGTTAAGAGAAAGTCGATCCTGGGAACTAATACAAACATATAATATTTTACAAAGCGATATTGCCAGTATTCATACGGCTTTCGAATTTCCAAATTTTAAACAGTCGAATTAATAAGTGGAGTTAAAGAGATTTTCTCCCATCGCCTACATGAATTTGAAATTGCCCACCTTTTTTGTAGTATTGTCGAAGACTTCGTGAGAGCTTGTCGTAATTCATTTGAGCGCGGTTTTTGCGTTGTCCCCAGAATCTTGCCAAATGATGAGAAGATTCGATTTTAAAAGTTCCTAGAACACCATAAATGCTCAAAACACTGCTTTATTCGTTAGCGATTACAGGATATCTTAGAAAAAATCTCTAGCAGTTACCATTTATATCGGAACGCATTTTTGACGTGGCGGTTACTGTAAGTAAAAAACCGTACCCTCATCTCTATCCACCCAGCGAACGCACGACCCATACTGTTTATTAGGATGATCGAGCAGTTCACGTATGAAATGCCATAGATGCACAGTGCCAGAGTGCCGCGGGAATGGAGACGGACGTGGATCGTCGGCTGATGGTGTCTGAGCACCATTCGGCATGCTGGAGTTACTCAACATTGAACGTTTCGAAAACTTCACTCAACTTAGAAATCCCAACTCATCCTTCTTACTTCATGCCATTCATTGGACTGCAAAAGCGCATTCCGTCTTGCTGCATTTGTAACATGCTTTGGATATCAATACAATCGTCGTCGCCAACTGAATAAAGAAAAAACATCGAAAATTCAATTTCTGGAGTAAAAAATAAACCTGAACAATAATGCTAGCTGATTAAAACTAATGCTGTAGTGACATGAAATTACTTTCTTTGTACTGTTGTAAACCAAATAGTACAACATAAAACAGTGACTCGGTTGGAAAAGTTGAGAGTGAATCTTCTATAGTCCTGACATGAAGTTAGTTCTATTCCATCTTTACGTCTTAATTATTTTTTATTTTACATGACTCATCATCACATCTGCACTGCGGATCCCAGCACTTCTTGAATTCGATTCATTTCCCCGCATCCAACATCCACAATGGTTTTCAAACATTTCGCACGTTGCTTCAGCCGATGCTTGAGGATTTTGTCATCTTTATGAATGACGTAAAATACTGGTTGAGTAAGTCCGCTAGCAGTATTGGAGACAGCGGACTAAGGCGTTTCAACGTGGAATAGAGGAGAATGTTGCGACGTAGATCGAACTAGCCCATTTGCTTCCTGATTGACGGGACCATTAGCCATTGCGCTATAGCCAGACTCACTTTCTAATCAACAGCGTTGTAACGTTCTAAGCTACATGTTCTGTTCGCTTTTTAGCTGAATAAATCGAATAACGCGCTCGTTCCTCTGGCCCTTTCCCTTTTTCATGTGATTCTTGCTGACATCGAACAACATACATAGACAACTCAAAAGATCGACTTTCTGTAATAAACCTCGACATAATAATCGATATATTTATATATACGTCCTTACGAACTGCCCTTATTCATATGATGCAAAGTTGGTATAAATCTTTTTATTGTTGTTGTCGTTGTTCAATGGTTGACGTTTCGGCGACTTCGGCTTCTTTAGAGCCACATGGTTATTTTGACAAAATAATTTAAACACTATTTAACGTATTTGTCACAAAGTAGTGCGAGCCGAAAAACAAGGCAGAAAGGAAGAAAATAAAAAGAACAAGATGAGATGGGCACAATACGATTCCGATTCCGACTATACGATTTTTTGACATTTCGATACGATTCCGTGTGTGAACTCTGAGCGGTTGGTCTCCACGTAACATATTTAGTGGAAGACTTATAGAAAGCGGTGAATGTGCAAAGACTGTGTTCAATGTGGTTGAAATCTCGGTTTAGCATTTTCTCTGTTTGGTTATGGAGGTGTTTGGCCGTGTAGATTGTAGTCAACTTGACCTTTCTAGGCTCTGAAGAAGGCGAAATCCGCCGAAACGTCAACTTGTACGTAAATAAAGAATTAAAATAGCACCTCGTGTTTACTGAACAGAAGTAGAAAGAACAAGATGACTCACCATCATGCATACTTGCGCTGCTGCTTCTATCGCTTTCACTGGGTGACGGCACGATACCATTTCCAAAAAAACCCTGACCATCTTGAGTTGCTGTTCCGATTCCACCTAGGGTATTTGAATTCAAAAGCGATAAGGAAAGTGTGGAAGTGGAAAAGCTAGCAAAATAGCAACAGATTTCATAACATGTTCCATATATACAGTACAACTTGCTCCTGTAAATATGAAGATGACAGTGGTATTGAAATTTCGCTATACTTGGCTCAAAGTGGTACAAATGCAACTGGGGTTAACAAATCAATAATGATTCCACAGCGATGGCGATGTGAGCGATCGCTTAAAAATGTAAAGTATAGGATTTCAAAGAATGATAGTGGTAAGAAAGAAGGAGCCTTCGACGGAGTTTCACGAGCTAGTTCACTGATGAGCTGTACTACAACTTTACTTGAGATTAGTGGTTACATAGGTGAAAGATGTTACTTGACATTGGTGGCTACATAGGTGAAAGATGTTTTTCTTAAGTGGTGATGAAACAAGGCAATATTTGCGCGCGGCACTGCCACCCTCGATGGAGATTGATCCGCCTCCGTACTCAGCGCTTCTTGTAGATCCTTCCACGAATAGAGTCTAGTGTTGAAAGCATACCGTTGTTAAAATAGTGTTGTTGCTGATGAATATCGTTTGTGTGATACTGTTGTTGAGCAAATTCTCCACGTAATGTGGCACTGTTTTTCATCGGTTGTTCAGCGATCATCTGACCAGCACTCATCATCTACAAAAACTGACATGAACTAGGCAGACGCCGAAATCAATATTGATCGGTAGTAGTTTTGGTTTGCAAATATCTACGAGTTAGATGCTTTTAGAATGGATATTGCTCAGTGGAACCGGCAGAGGATTGGTCATGGAATGATTCGGAAGGATTGTAAATATATAGTGATGCAGATCTCTACTTTTATTTATCATTTTTCGAGCCTTGGTCGGTTTCTGAAAGTGCAAGTTGCCCTCAAAACAAAGCAGCTGAGGGATTAAGAGCGTTTGCTTAAACGGATGTTGAAGTCAATTAGGCTTAGAATGGCAGAAATATGTTATAGAACTGTATAACTGAATGCCTACTATATCGCAGACATAATGTGGTACATGCACAGATGTATATTTATGTGTATGCACTTTATAAGAAATCAAAAAATATATCGCCTAATAGTACTGTTCTTGGAAAAGAGAATTGCAAGCTCCAAAAATGAAAATGCCTAACGAACGTCTTAGAGCACATTGGAACGGTCTCATTAAGCAGAAGAACATAAAAAATTTTCTTTGTGAAAGATATGTTACATTTCCAATCAACTACCCAGTTGTTCTTTGGCATGGAATTGTCGGCAGCTGTGATTCCTCCATTGCTCTGACCGCCGTTTTGTTGCTGATGGTAGGATTCGAATGCTGAAATGTTTTCAGGAAGCTTCCTCTTTTCCTCACACTTCATCTCTCTATACAATACTCCCATCAGGTTACTCCCCCTTACTTCTCTCTTCCCTGCTGTCTCTCTCAAATAGCTAAACCTGACATCCTCAATGATCCACTCTTCAATGGATAAAGAGCAACTTTGTTGATAAAATCACATGTGTTCCCTCTACTTTAAAAAACACGTGAAAAAGAAAGTCTGTCCAAAGAAATCGAAGTGCATCCAAAAACTCAATGAGGAGAAAGGTAATGAAGTTTTTCTAACCCTATACTTACCGGTTTTCCACAATTGTAACTGGGCGTATAGTGTGTCACCTCCTTCAGGAGCTAGGGCAACAAAATCCTTTTGACTCATACTTAGCAGTACTCGGCCGCTGATATAAGTTTGACGAGGTGATGTAAGGTTGAACTGTTGACACATTTCTGATATCCAACGTGAGCCATGTTCTTGTGTCCAATTTTGAGCATCTAAAATTTAGATATGCAAAAATTCTGAAACATAATGGCTCCCCATCGGTGAAGAATCTCAAGCGCGGCGACGAAATCCTACTTAACATGACGTGGTCCATTTTATTAAATAGTAAGTCTCTTGACCGAGCACAAGGGTTTCCCACTTCAAAGGATCTAGTGTTAGAAAGAAAACGATTTTTCTATCTCCTACCAATTTCTTTTTCGTGGTCGAGAACTTAGTTTTTGAAATATCTGGAAAAGATAACTGCATTTCACCAACACTTAAACCACTCAGAACACATCTCACAAAAGTCAACCAGTTACAGCGCTCACTAATGATCAATGTGTATCCCTCTTTAATTTACTTCATGTGAAAACTAAAATTTCCTTGTACCAAAAAGTGATAGAAACATTACATCTCAAATGGCCAAAAAGTAGAAAAAAGCCAATCTTATGAAAAACTCATAAAACTATGGAGAACTAATAAAGACGGATAATTCAATGATTGTAGAGACCAGGTCCCACGTGTACCTAATTCGTTAAAGGAGCCTAGAAAACGACATGAAGGAAAACCGCGCAAGAGAGAGAGAGCATGATTTTTCACAAAAGCCTCCGGTCGAACAAAAGATCAAACTCTCTTCTCACCGTCTTAACCTTTTTATTTACTGCTTTTTTTCTTCTTAATAGAAGAGTATGTTGCGAAATATAACTCGTATGAAATGCTGAGATATTTGCAAAACGCAGGTGTATGCAGTGGGAAACGAACACGCGCTGTTGTCCTCACCGGGGAGCAGCGCACTTCACCACTACACCATCCGGGTCCTTCGTCCTGCCTGTCTCTCAGCTAGTTCTATCGATCTTTTTGCCATCAGCAATCACCCGTCAAGATCGATAGAACTAGCTGAGAGACAGGCAAGACGGAAGACCAGGATGGTGTGATGGTGAAGTGCGCTGCTCCCCGGTGAGGACAACAGCGCGTGTTCGTTTCCCACTGCATACACCTGCGTTTTGCAAATATCTCAGCATTTCATACGAGTTATATTTCTCTTCTCACTATTTTGATTCAGTGGTCCTCGCCGCATTTTGCTATTTAGCTAAGACGTGGGTTGACACCTCAACGACGTTGAAAATTTTGCGTACTGCTCACCGAGCGGTCAAATAATGTCTTCTCAAATACAGTCTGCACAGAAAACTGGAGTGCCTAGGTCAGATATTCGTATATATATATAAAACTATATTTCACTATGAAGTTTATATATATATATATAATATATAAAACTGTATATGAAAAACCAAAATAAACGAAAAGACAAAATAATAAAAATAATATTAAACAGTATAATAACAAAATAGGGTGCGTGCGGCGCAGTGGTTGGAGGCGCCACTGCCACACACACGTGGAATCGATCCCCGCGCCAGTGGCCCACCGAGCCTTCCACCCCTCTGGGGTCGGCAAATTGGTACCAGACTTGTCTGAGAGGAAAGCAGTATTGGATCGATACAACGGTAGGCCACCGCGAGTCATTGTAAAGGCCAGATTTGCATTCAGTCACCTCCAACGATACTTAGTGAAGTCGAATGCATGGTGCATGCCTCAGGAATTGATCAACGCCGAGAGCTTTATCCTTTACCCTTAATAACAAAATAGTGATATAGCAGCAATATGATAATAATAGTAAAATAGTAAAATTATATATGCACGATTTTTACATTGGAAATGTAAATAAAACTGACGAATAAATGTAAACAAAAATATAAACGAATATATAAACAAGTTTTCAGACTTTATTTCGTCTTCATTCGGCATCGAGTTGTCTGGGTTTCAAAATACTTTAGCGATTTTCTGTTTGACCTGTGAGCGAGCCACCATTCACATCCGCCTACCGCCGCCGTTGCCGGCCATCAACATTGTATATAAACTGCCATTAAGCTTCCAACGAAAACACCAGCTTTCTGTACCATTCGGTTCATGTCTTAAAACCATAAGCTAATATGGAAATGGTATTTTAGCTTATCTGAAACGGATCCAAAATCCATGGAAAATTAGACCTAGTATAAGATTCTCTGATAACACAAGAGTGAATCTTAACTCTTTTAATTACTGCCTTTTTCTTCTTAATGGCAGGTTATGTTGCGAAATATAACTCGTATGAGATGCTGAGATATTTGCAAAACTCCGGACCACAGGTGTATGCAGTGGGGAACGAACACGCGCTGTTGTCCTTACCGGGGAGCAGCGCACTTCACCACTACACCATCCGGGTCTTGCAAATATCTCAGCATCTCATACAAGAGTGAATATTTGCTTTGTGTGAATAATCTCTTATTTATTCACAAAAGTATAAACGCCTTCACATTCTAAATCTTACCTGTTGGTAGGCCTAATTTCGCACATGTTGTGCTGATATCCTGGATAAGATGTCTGAGGATTAGATCTCTGTAATATTCAAAAATTGGTATTTTACAGTTATGATTTGAGAAGTCAAGTTAACTACCACATTAGTAATCTAACACCCGCTTGTTGCTGATTAAACCTTTCAGTCAATGAAAACAATAACAGCTGTACTTACCTGTAGATGTCCATCTGTTGAGCGTCTACGCATGCATTTCCATTGAGGCATTGGTTTGGAACGTTCTCACACGTGGCGGTGGTCGTGGTGTTTAGGTTAGAGCTACCGAATGTAGATGTACTGAACCCGGTATAGATCTCTAGAGAGAGGAAAATAAGAGCATTAAGTAGAAATAGAAGAGTTTATTCTGATTTATCAACATAGAATACGAGTGAGTTCATACATACCAAAAAATCTTAAACGTGGAAATAATGAAAGATAGTGTAGGCTTATTTTTTTACTCACATGCTACTTTGCCATTTTCTTAGTGTCGGATAAAAAAGGAGTATTTTGGATGTTCAATTTCGGCGATGGGAGCATATAGCGCAGTGGTTGGAGGCGCCCTGCAATATACATGGGATCGATCCCCGTGGCCCCAGCTCACCAAGCTTTTCATCTCTCGGGAGTCGGCAAATTGGTACCAGACTTGTCTGGGAGCATATCAGCACTGGCCCGATGCATCGGTACACCGCCGCGAGTTATTCTAAAGGCCAGATATGCCTTTAGAGTTATTCTAAAGGCCAGATATATAAAAGAACACCTAGATGGCAAACGAAAACTAAGACGAAGCACCCTACTAGGCACGCATAGGATACAAAAGCATAGCGGAGACGATTTTGAAGTAAAAGTCAATATCCTTGCACAGGAGTCTAAAACACAAGCGCGAAAACTCCTTGAGGCTTTTTGGATCAATACCAAAAACTCTACAATGAATAGCAGAGATGAATGCCCGGAGGTCATACGCGACCTGATCCCGTACGTTCGCATCGATTTTTGATGTGGGATGGTGCAGTCGTCAACCACATGCGACTGTAATCAGCTGTTCTAAACATCCTCATTGGAATTCACGTAAAAAGCGGTGAGTTTTTCGAGAAGCTGTTGACCATGCAATTACCAAAGAGTCTTTCGTCTTTTTGTAAGTGTTATTGAAGCGTTTGGTCTAGTAGATTGTATATCAGTATACCCTCCCAGGCTCTGAAGAAGGCGATACTGCCGAAGCGTCAGCTAGCGTTGTATTGTATTGTGTTTTTCTATGGAAGTAAATGTATGCTGTTTAAAAACCTCGCGATTGCTGAACAAGAAAACGACACGGCCAGATATGCATTCAATCACCTCCAACAATGCTTAATGAAGTCGAATGCATGGCGCATCCCTCAGGGATTGACCAATGTGGAGAGCTTTATCATTTATCGTTTTATCCAACAGCGACTCTTCCCCAAAAGGTTTCCGTTGCTGACAAAGAGTTTGACATTTCCATCCGGATGCGAAGCAGACAGTAAACCATCGTCCTCGTAACATTCCAGCTAAATGGCGATAAATTTCCCATCAGTAAGCGCCGACGACTCACTGTAGCCAGGAATTGAGAAAGGCTAATATGGCTGACCAGATATTTCAGCCAAAGGAAACCTTCCGTAGGCAGTAAATGACCAGTCACGTGAAAATCGTGCTGGAAGTCCGAGTTATTGTAAAGACGATGCGTCCAAGTAATGAGGAAAATGATCAGAATGTTACCTCAGTGTATGAAGATGTTGGAAGTCGATTAAGTAACAGTGGCGAATTAAATAGAGATTACTTTAGATACTTTAGATAGATAGATAATAGAGAGATACTTTTACTTCAGAAGTGCCTGTGGAATGTATCTTACTCAAGTGAAGTGAAAACGAACAGTTGATAAAGGTGAAAACAAAATAGTAGATTCGTTGCAAAAAAAGCAAAAAAATACGACAGCTACTTGTGATGACGACAATACCGTCTAAACTGAAATCATAATGGTATAGACATGGTTTTTGAGTGAAACTGTGAAATCGGACAGGTACTTCTAGGTAGTTTTTCGAATAGTATAAGTACGAACTCCTTCTTAACGATTCGTATATTTTTTTTATTTTTTTATTTGACCCGTCTTCATATCTACTGTGCGAATCACAGCGCTTGTTGCATTCAATTCGCTTCCTCGCATCCATCGTCCACGAAGATCTTCCAATTTTACGTAACGCTTCGATTTCTGCTTGAGGATTTTCATTTCATTTTGAATGTCGTAGAATGCTGGTCGAGCAATTCCCCTTGGTGTCCTGAGACACCCGGGTTAGAGCGTTCCTAATTGGATTTCAGCGAGTGATGTTCTCCCAGACAAGATCAGTAGCAATTTCCCGATCCCGGATGGATGAGAGGCTTGGTTGGCCCGGGGCGGAATCCAACTAGGACCGTGCTCGTGGTGGCGGGTACCAGTACCACTGTGCTATCCGCCCCACTAACGATCCATATAAAGATTACCAAATTCGAATTGGTAACGATACTTTGAAAAGGCATCGAAGAATTTATAAAAGACCCATGAAACTTCATATTTAATTCTATCAGAATATTCTGTACCTTGTCGTAATTTTCCCCAATTTTTTGTCAGAAAAAACTCATGCCAAGCGTTCGTTGTCGTTGGTTCTTGGAAAACAGAAGCCATTTCTAATTTCCATTACAACGTGTAGTGGGGAACAAGCTGATAACATTCGTTTGTCATGGAACCCTAACCAAAAGGTGACATTAGCAACAGAATGAGAAAAACTAGGGTTACACATAAAAACGACACCTGTACAAAAAACAACAAAAACCTGGTGTGATACGACTGTGGCTTCATATTTTCATCAAAACATTGGGCTTTAATGAACGACGTTAAAAATGCATGTGTAGAAAAAAAATACTCGGACAATTTATTGCCTGCTTCGCGCTGGAAGGAAATAATTATCTGAGAGAAATGATTGGGGACTTTGTGGGTTTTTGAAATTCAGGAATTAAGAAAAACGCCCAGGAGAGAGTAACAACACTTTCATAGGAGATACAAAGAAAACATTTCCTTAATAGAGAAGATGATATCTGTTTTCATTCACATAGCTCGTCCACTTTGTACCTTCCATAGACAGCGGAGTAGATCGAGTCGTTGGATAGAAAACGAAAATAAGTTGCAGAGCTTTGAGCGCGCTCTTTTCATTCAAAAAAAGTTGTTCTAATATAGCAACTAACCATCTAATAAACTGTAATTTTAAGCTACTTCTTAGTTGATGATATTCGTGGTACCACGTAATGCCTCCTACTCAGTAGGGCGTCATTATTTCCCTTCGACACACCAACTTACGCAATCGCACACGTGCAACGTTACAAGTGTTGACGAAGAAACTACTCAACTAGTGAGAAGTACACCACACTTTTGTTGACTCTTTAAAAAAGGACTCTTTCTGTATACCACCATTAAAGGTGGTGGGATAATCCAGTAATGAAGTTCAGTGTGACTTCTACCTTTAAGTTCTTATGACTAAGAAGAAGCTACGACAAGGTAGCTCATCTTGTACTATTTTTTAATCCTCTGTTTCTGATCATTTTTTCTACTTTTAGATCTTTAATCAAGTTGCCTAGAAACAGCGATACGTTTGCTTTCCGGCAATGGCTCGACCCTTCTGCGGTTTGGGTCATGTCTTTAACACAAATCAGTATTTCGTGTTGAATGTCATAAATCTTGTAAAGCATCACTAGAGGAATTTGCTAACGTAGAAAACACGACCACATCGACGTCCGAGTAGCATCCCGATTCCATCCGACTTTTTGTAGCGCGGCCAGCAACCAAGTAAAATCCAACCGGTTGGGCTGGTTCCTCTACAGTCGCGATATCCCCGAGCGAGAATCGGCTACGAAAGCGAATAAGGCGTCATGTTGGTGTTCGCCAGTTGGTGACGCCACTTTATTTCCAGTACCAAAGAATTTTAAGTGGGCTGCTTCAGCATTCAACAAGACACAAAAGGCGAACAGGTATGATGGACAAGGACATCAATCCAATAAAAAACCCAGTGAAAGAAAAATGTACAACTCCGAAAAATCGGAGGGAACTCAGTCACTGTGGAAATTTGGTCAGAAATTTCAACATGGTCTTTTTCTTCTTTATGTTCTGCAATTCTTATAAAATCTAGAGCAGCTGCAATTTTTTTGATTACATCCTCCTTCATGAGAAGAAATGCGAGAAGATTCTTGTTCATCCAAAGAAATTTTTAGAGTTTAAGTAAAAAACAGATTTCGGACATTCATGATTCGGCTAGGGAGAATTTCCGGCTTACCTTCACAGGTCTCGGTCTTCACGTCGTTTATTCCACTAAACGAGACGACCTCTTGAGCCTAAAATTTTTAGATTCACCGTTCTTTTAAAAATAAACTGCTATAAAAGCAAAAGGGTGTCCTTTTTCTTGCGTGCACCTTGTGTACATTGCGGTTCCAATCATTAACAGGAAACAAGGTTGGTGGAAGTATTTAAGTAAAATGCTGTACTAGCGATAAAATAAAGAACTAGAAGTGTTTCAAATTTGAGGCAAGGTAAAGACTATTCAAGATTCTAATTATTATAATTCAAAGTAGAACTTCAACCATGAAAATAATAATAATTACAGTAACAGTAACAATAATAGCGAAAGCAATGATATAATGAAGAAGTGCGGAATGTGGCGCAGTGGTTGGAGGCACCTCTGCGACACACACGTGGAGTCGATCCCACGCCCATGGCCCACCAAGCCTTCCATCTCTCCGGGTCAGCAATGTGGTACCAGATTGTCTGGGAAAATAGCAGCACTGCCTCGATACATCGGTAGGCCACCGCGAGTCATTGTAAAGACCAAATATGCATTCAATCACCTTCAACGATACTTAATGTAGTTGAATGCATGGCGCATCCCTTAGGGATTGATTAGCCCCGAGAGCTCTATCCTTTTATCCTTTAATAAAGAAGTCGCTTCTTTTAAACACTTCATACCCCTTAATGTGTACAAGCGTTTCCGTTATACAAAATCTGAA